TCGACTATAGCCTTGCATCTTAACAACCATTCTGTCACTTGCGATTCGGTTCATAGCAAGGTGATCAGTCTCTACTGTCTATATTCTTCACAGCATTCAACCCTGAACACCTAATCCCGTTAAAATCAACAGTCCCTTATTGTGAGCAAATGTTTGCAAATGTTCGAGATTAAATATTTTTCTAAAACTTGTTCTTGTTTTGTTCTGCCATAGTGGTGTAGCGGCTATATCCTCAAGGAGGTGTTTTGTTTTTCTTCTTTCAAAACTGACTTTGGCTCCAAGGTGGACTTAAAAAGGAGTACATTCAGTGGGTTGAAAGTGCAGCGTAAAGCTGACCACATCACACACAGAGAGTTGATGGGTCTTTAAACACCCAGTCTAGCACCATATAGCGCGTGAGCCACTGGCATTAAAAAGGGCCCTTTTCTATGAATGTTTTGCCTCAAGCTGATTAAACAGGATAGACTGCCAAAAGTGTGACAAACTCAGACCAGCTCTACGGGACGAAGAACTACAACTGAACTGTTAAACTTCTTCTCATTCGCGTTCACAGGCTGTAAACTCAGGCGGAAAGTTTTGATTATTCGTCTACTTTTGGACTTCAGCCGCGTGTCAGTACTTGAGTTTTGCGTGTGCACAACAGTTTTACAGATCTGGCTTTTGTGTATGCAGACTATTGGTTCCGTGCTTTTTATGCAGATGCGCTGCGATTTCTAAGGAAACCCCTAATTAGTCGACTGTTATGTACTTGTTAGGAGAGCAGCGGGTCTACCCCCTCCTCCACCCTACCATTGGCAACTGTTTTACTTAATCACTTAATATCGTTAAGCTGCTTACATATCGAATGATTCACCCGTTTTCAGAAATTCATGAGAGACAAACTGAACGACACCTTTAACTTCTTCGGACTGCAAAACATCTCACTGGATCACGTGGACGTGTGAGTTTTGTTGTATGTCATGCCACTTGGCGGCATAGTTTTGTTTTGTTGTATGTCATGCTGTCACTTGACGGCATAGTTTTGTTTCACGACTTTATGTTGGCGGCTTGATCATAATAGTGAAAAGCTTGCCAATGATTTTCTAGCTTTCACCACTACTATCATAATTACTGGCTGGCTTCGTTGCCATCCCAATCATCATCTTTATCGTCATCATCATCATCATCACCAACGCCATTAGCGTTTTCAATCATGCTGAGCGTTATCAGTCTTTATTATCGTTTGCGACCACTATAAGCTTTCATCATTGATTAGTCTATATCAACCATCCTCAGCGTTATACCTCATCGTCAGCGTTATCAGTGATATTTAGCGTTAATAATCATGGTCACCATTATCAATATTCCCTGTCATTATCACTAACATTATTGTTGTCATCATCAAGATCTTCATCATCAACATCATGGTCATCTCTTTTGCTCTGTATTAAGTGTCGAATAAGCCACTTGCTCTCTCTTTCACTTTGTATGAGGTCCGTGACTTTTGTTTTCTTAAACAAAAAGGTGCCGGTACTCAAAGTATCTAAAAAGGTTCGGTACTCACCACAAATGGTTTATAACAGTACCGCTGAAATAACATTTTTGAAATAAAAGTGCTAGTATTCCGCGCTAGTGTGTGCCACCGGAAAAAAACAGTTCTGATCAAGTTTATGTTTGGGATATAACCTTTATCTCTGAGGCATCAGCATGCTAACACGTGGGTAAGTGTGTATACAACTGACTACAATATATTCACAATGATCTGTCTCCTAAGTTCATCATATGTTCCAAATTGACTTCAGTCTCCCAGGTTCTATGTTGGCTTCAATCTCCCATGTTCTATGTTGACTTTAATCTCCCATGTCCTATGTTGACTTTAATCTCCCATGTTCTATGTAGACTTCAATCTCCAGTGTCCTATGTTGACTTCAATCTCCCATGTTCTATGTTGACTTTAATCTCCCATGTTCTATGTTGGCTTAAATCTCCTATGTTCTATGTTGACTTCAATCTCCCATGTTCTATGTTGACTTTAATCTCCCATGTTCTATGTTGACTTCAATCTCCCATGTTCTATGTTGGCTTCAATCTCCCATGTTCTATGTTGACTTCAATCTCCCATGTTATATGTTGACTTCAATCTCCCATGTTCTATGTTGGCTTCAATCTCCCATGTTCTATGTTGACTTCAATCTCCCATGTTCTATGTAGGCTTCAATCTCCCATGTTCTATGTTGACTTCAATCTCCCATGTTCTATGTTGACTTTAATCTCTCAGATCCACCCAGGCACTGGTTGCAGGACAATCCTGTTACTATGGTATCAAGTCTTGTCTAGACGAGGTCAGCAGACAGTATCATTTATGGATGAATACCCCAAGCAACAACCCGTAAGTAGAAACCCACCTGTATGTAAAAACCCACCCATAAATAGAAACCCAACCGTAAGAAGAAAGCCACACAACATGAAGGCTGAGCAATATGTTCCTTTTACGTTCGGTAAAATCTCAAGAAACTAAAAGGCAACTTGACGAAAGACACCAACAGTGTTAAATGATCATGTAATCAGAAGAGACGCAACGGTGAACATTGTGATCACTGAAAACAACCGTGGTAGTAGAGGCAGGAGGAGAGGAACACCGTAGAATCCTTAGCTGCACAAGACCTCAGGTTACGGCAAGATGGTGAAGCCTATATGGTTGCTCCAATTATAAATCCTCGGAGGTTGAAGGGGAGAACTTTGATTTTGCGGTTGACTTACCATCTAGACTGAGGTTGTTTAACCACACACTGGTCAAAATGTCAAGTATCAGCCCAGAGGGGACAGCCAGACGGAAGGACGGAGAGGTTAGACGGTCAAAGATAGTGGTCTGGGGCAATGTGAATGGGAATGAACATGTCGTTATGATTTGATAAAAGGCAACTGAACAGGCGCTAATATCCTCACAGACGTAAATGTCGTTGATATACGCCAGACTAATAGCTGTTTACCCCCCTTACCCCCCCCCCCCCCACGCCTTCCCCCTTCAGCGAAAAAAAAAAAAACACACACACACACACACATACTAAAGAAACACGAAAACTGACACAAATCACGTACTTTTGTGTGAGGCGATCAACTAGCATTATGGCAGTACAAGAAGCATACACTTCACTGTTCAAAATGCATGCTCCTTAGTGTGTTGCACGGAATGCCTCTGAAATGTGTGCAGTTTGATGCGAATTGTAAGCTCTGAACTGTCTGTTTTTTTATGTACCACAAATAACGACAAATAAAAACTAGATGTTTGTTAAAGTATTATTATTTTCCTGCTAGGACATGATTGTTAGCAGGTTGCATGCCATGTTTCAACAATTAACACCCAGTGGTTGCTGAGTTACACATTTTTAAAGTTAGGCACAACTTTTGGAATAAAGTCTAGTTCAAAATACACTAAACCCGACTGACTTTTGATTTGTTACGTTTGCTAGAATTAACCCCAACATCAAGAACGTTGTCTACTGTTACGCTATATCCAATGGAGATCAGGAAGAGTGGAACTTTGCCTTGAGGGTCAGTTTTCACAAATGTTGTATTGTTCAAGGTGTTTGTGTGTTCCTTGTGTTTATATTGTAGATGATGATGGCTGGTACAAATATGACTGGTACAAATAGGACAATGTTAAAAGGGGTGTGACAAGAGAAGAGCACTATGCAGGAAGCCAAAGAAGAATAAGAAACCAACGCAGAACTGGTGTCGTAAGCCGCTACAAGCTAGGGGATTTGCTGAGCAGGGTATCTGAGCACTTATGGATTGAATGATTCAATGTGGCAATGAGGATGATCTATCGACTAACCAACTAACAAATATGACAGATCCGGTGATTTATTTCCATAGATCAGAAATAGATGTTTTTAGTTCTTGAAAACGTTTCTTTCTAACATCGAAATGGACACATTGTTTAAAAAAAAAAAAAACAATCGCTTGCAGGTTGATTTAGTATTTGTGAGCAAATAGAGAAAGTGAATTAGTTTACACAGTCCACATGCAGGTCTATGGCATGACCATTGCAGGAGAGTGAGGAGAAACCCTCGCAGGAGCACCGGATTAGGGCATCAACTAATACTTAACAGAAGTTGTCAGTGAAAGGTGCTTGAGCAGTGAGAATTGATCAAATCTAGGATTGCTCTCCTCACAATTACTACCTCAAGGATGAGAATCGCACCCCAGGAAATCCAGTAAACTCCGTTCAACCTAAAGACAATTTTGTTAAAGTTTCCCTAGGGTTACATAAAAGCCTCCAGTCTAGTATGTGGGTAGGATGATAATGTGTTAAAGAGAAGATCAGGGCACTAAGGACATGCCCGATGTGCCATAAAGAATTTCGTTTACTAAACAGATTAGTGATCTAAGACCCGACATCACAGCACACGGAACATTACCACACTCGCTGTGTCTTCCACAGCACACGGAACATTACCACACTCGCTGTGTTTTCCACAGCACACGGAACATTACCACACTCGCTGTGCCTTCCACAGCAAGCGTGTAGATGCTTGCTGTTCCCCCAGCACACTGATTAAGAACAGCTCGTTCTCCTCCTCTCATACTTGCTGGATCCACTGCTAATTCCTCGTTAAACATTTTACACATCTGATTGTATACAACATTATTTTTTCTATCAACATTCCTTCATTGATGGCTTTCAGAATGTCTGCTTTGTCCATCACGAGTGTTCCTGTAGCAGCCATTTGGGATGTTCACTCTCAGATCTACAATCAAATCATTTGATGTTCACTCTCAGATCTACAATCAAATCATTTGATGTTCACTCTCAGTTGTACAATGAAACCATTTGATGTTCACTCTCAGATGTACAATGAAATCATCTGATGTTCACTCTTAGATGTACAATGAAATCGTTTGATTTTCACTCTTAGATGTACAATGAAACCATTTGAAGTTAACTCTCAGATGTACAATGAAACCATGTGATATTCATTCTCAGATGTACAATGATATGATTTGATATTCACTCACAG